AAAAAAAACAAAAAAAAAAAAAAAAAAAAAAAAAAAAAAAAAAAAAAAAAAAAAAAAAAAAAAAAAAAAAAAGAAACTAGACATCAACAAATCAAATAACCCAATTAAAAAAATGGAGTACAGATCCAAACAAAGAATCAACACAAGAATCTCAAATGACCGAGAAGCACTTAAAGAATGTTCAACACTGAGCAGTGGTGGTGTACACGTGTAATCCCAGCACTCAGGAGGCAGGGCAAGCAGATCTCTGAATTAGAGGCCAACCTGGTGTACAGAGTGAGTTCCAGGACAGCCAGAGCTACACAAAGAAACCCAGTCTCAAAAAAAAACAAAAAAAGAAATGTTCAACGTAAGTAGTCATCAGGCAAATACACATCAAAACAACTCTGAGATTCCATCTTATACCTGTCAGAATAGTTAAGATCAAAAACACACATAACAGCTCATGCTGGAGAGGATGTGGAGCAAGGCAAACAAACACTCCTGCACTGCTGGTGAGAGTGCAAAATTATACAGACACTACGGAAATCAATACAGTGGTTTGCCAGAAAATTGGGAATCTACCTCAAGACCGAGGTCTACCACTCGTGGGCATACACCCAAAGGATGCTCTATCTTACCACAAGAACACTTGCTCAACTATGTTCACTGCAGTGTTAATCATAATAGCCAGAAACTGGAAACAACGTAGATGTCCCTCAAGCGAAGAATGGATGAAGAAAATGTGGTACATTTACACAATGGAATATTACTTAGCTGTTAAAAAAAATAATATCATGAAATTTGCAGGCAAATGGATGGAACTAGAAAAAAAAAAATCACCCTGAGTGAGCCAATCCAGATCCAAAAAGATAAACATGGTATATACTCACTTATAAGTGGCTATTAGCCATAAAGTAAAAGATAATCATGCTACAATCCACAGATCCAGAGAGGCTAAGTAACAAGGAGGGCCCACGGGGAGATACATGGATCTCCCTGGGAAGGGGAAACAGATTTCATGGACTGGGGGCAGGAAAGGATGGGACAGCATGTACTGGAAAGAGTACTGGAAGAGACAACTGGAAGAGGCAAGGAAGAAACAGAGTACAATGGAAACTCCTAGAAATCCATGAGGGTGACCCTAGTGAAGACCCCTAGTAATGGGGAATATGGAACCTGAACCAGACATCTTCTGTAACCATGCAAGGTTTCCAGTGGAAGAACTGGAACATCAACACAGCCACAAAACCTTCAACCTAAAATTAGTCCTGCCTACAAGATGTGTTCAGGTAAAGTTGGCACAGAACTTGTGGAAGCACCCAACCGATAACTTGTCCAAATTGTGACCCACATCACGAGAGGGAGTCCATGCAGATATTGCCTGGAGGGCCAGGAACTAGAGTCTGAACAATCAATCCAGAGACCAAGGATAGAACCATGATGGGTGGAAAAAGTCAATGAAATGATTCCTAATGATACTCTGCTATACTTATAGATCCAAACCTAGCACAATCATCATCCAGCAACTGATGGGAGCAGACGCAGAGACCCACAGCCAAACATTAGAGCTTGTGGAATCCTGCAAGAGCACAAGGATTGTAGGATCCAGAGGGGTCAAGGACACCATAAGAAAACAGCCAGCAGAATCACCTAACCATGGCTCAGAGGGGTTCAGAGAGACTGAAGTGACAACCAGGGAGCCTGTATGGGTCTGAGCTGTATATATGTATATACCCTCTGTATATATGTTATGTTTGTGTAGCTTGGTCTTCTTGTGGGACTCCTCACAGTGGGAGTGGGGCCTGTTTCTGATCCTTGAGCCTGCTTTTTGGACCCTTTTCTTTCTACTGGGTTGCCCTGTCCAGCCTTAATAAGAGGGGAGGTACCTACTCTTATAAACTCACATGCCATCTTTGGTTGATCTCTCAGGAAGGCTTGCCCTTTTCGGAAGGGAAAATAAGGAGTTGCTTTGGGGGCAAGCGGATGTGGAGGAAAGGACTGGGAGAAGAGAAAGGAAAAACTGAAGTAGGTATGCAATAAATAAGAAAAGAATTTTTAAAAAAAGCATGGCTAGTTGGGTACTGGGTAAACATGATCAAAACTCATTATGTACATGTATGGGCATGTCAGTAATATAACCCATCCCTATATACAATTACTACATGCTAATAAAAACATTTTTTAAAAGTCTCTCTTCTGAGGAACTGGACAGTTTGTCTGGGGAGAGAGAAGGGACAGGAGCAAGCCCAAGAAGAGACTGGAAGGTAAATAGATCTGATTGATAGATAGATCCCAGGACAGGAGAGACCCTACTGCCATTCCAATACCAACACTGCTTTATCCGTTACTTTTCCCTGAATGTGAGTTTCCCTCAGGAGTCCCAAAATAAAGAACAACTCACACTCAAAACAGCTAACATCAAATTCCAATTGTTTACATTTCACTCATTAACTTAATGTTGATTTTACCTTCACTCAATATTTACTTATCTGTATATTTCTTTAGTTTTTTTTCATACAAAAATACCAAATCAAAACAAAAAGTGTGCACATGCATACACACACACCCCACACAACAACAAGGAGTCCTTTTTGTGTTAGCCAACTGCTCCTGAGCATGACACCTGTCCTGAAGTGTGGTTGATCACAGAAAACGGATTTTCCCTTTTCCAGCAGCGACCAATGGCAAATAGTTCCTTGGTTAGGGGTAGAACTTGGAACCCATTTCCCCTTCTCGGTGCTGGGATTTTGAGTGGTTTGAATTTCTGTGGGACTTGTTAACACTGCCATCACCCTTGCTGTGGTCTTGGAATCCCCTAGCACCTCTGGCTCTTACAACCTCACTTCCTCTTTTCACAGATCCCTGAGCCTTGAGGGGCTGGAATGAGTGCTCCAAAGTCTCTCACTCTGCTGTGTGGGTCTCTGTGTTAATTGCCATGTGCTCTAAGGAGCAGCTTCTCTGATGTGGGCCGGGGGCAGCACTGATCAACACGTACCGCAGTACAGGAGTCATTTTTTGCTATGTTCTTCTAGCCAAGTAACAACACTAGGCTTTGCCCTATGACTTATCTAGTCTCAGGTTCTTGGTCACTTTAGCAGTATGGGGTAAGAGTTTCATCTCAGGGAGTGGGTTTTTATATTAGTGCATGTCAGTCTTACCTATCACAGCTAGTACATTTCTAAAAAAAGAAAATGAACAAGTAATTGATATTTGTCTTCTTGTCTCTGAACAGCATGAAACCCATCAATATATAATTTAGGAGCGATTTCATTACATAACTCTCCGCAGTAACATTACTTTTAATTTGATAATCAGCTTTATAGTACTAGGTAAACTCTCATTAATCTAATGATGGAACTACCTAATGAGAAAGTACATTAATTAACAATCATATTCAAATCAAGAAAAAAAGAATTCTATTTTTAAAACATCCAAGCACGGCCAGAGATGGCTGAGCTATTTCAAGTGCTTGTTGTTCTCCCAGAGGACCTGCATTCTGTCCCCAGCACTCAAGTTGGACTGCTCACAACTATCTATAACTCCAGGTCCAGGGGATCCAAGGCCTGACTTTGGCCTCTGCAGGCACCACACAATATGGACAGAGACACATGGATACACACTTAAAAAAAAAACCCGGGCACGGTGGCAAACACCTTTAATCCCATCACTTGGGAGGCAGAAGCAGCTAAGTGTGGCCAGTCTGGCCTACATACTGAGTTCTAGGCCAGCCAGCAATACATAGTGAGATCCTATTTCAAACAAACAAAATAAACATAAACAAAAGAAAGTCTAAAAAAATATCTAAGCAGGCAACATCTAAGTCACATGGATCCTAGAAATGGGAATAGAAATACTTATAATTCTTACAATAAGAGTCAAACAATATTAGTGTCTTATCAAGTCCACACCTACCTGCTCAACAAGTCTCCACAAAAAAATAGTGTAAGTCCAAGGAAGAAAACAAGGAAAAATTTGGGGTCAAATCCTGAAACAAATAAAATTTTTGCTTAACAGAAGAATCAGTTAAAGGTATTAAAAAAAAAAAAAAAAGGAGACATTTGTTATCATTGGTCAACTACAGCAAAACAAATAGCCCAACTAAATGGCAGTATAGATACCACACAAATCCTGGGTATCCTTCCAAAGAGAAAACAGTATTAGGTTTTTGTCCAATCTATATCTTCCTGAGTATCTTATTCTTATTCTGGCTTCCTCTACTAAGGATTTAAAACAGACAAACAAAAAGTGACTAAGCTAAACAAGATGCTATCACTTCACACAGCTGCTCACAATGGGTCTCCGCCCTTAAGTCACTTAGAGGCAGGGAATTTGAGAAAGAGGCCTGGAACTTTGGGTGTCCTCCACGAGTGTTCTTCTGGCCCAAGCACACCTCCCACTTTGCTTCACTATAGAGCACTGTGCTGAAAAAGTCTCCTTGCCAAACATACCTCACCCAGGACCAGGAGGCCAGGTAAAGACCCACTGGTGGCACACAGAGCATTCCACGGCTGTTACATTCGAAAGCTGAGTCTAAGGAAGGCCCAGAAACAGACAGGAGCTGGCAGAATAATTAAATTATGAAGGAACACCAAAAGGCAGGCTAACCCTACTGTTATGGATTATTATTTTAACTAGGCAAAATGTGTTACATTTGTTTATGCTGCAGAATCTTACTTTAAGGCACCTGATTGATCTAATAAAACTGAATGGTCAAAAAGAAAAAGCCCGGTACATTTGTCATGGGGGCGGGAGGGAGGGATTGCAAATTGCTACTGGTCACGCTAAGGGGGAAACTGAGTAAGAGTGGATGGATTCAAGGATCTCTTTCTAAAAAGAAAAAGGGGATATGGGAAAAATAAAGTAGATTATTGAATCTACTTTAAAACTAAAAAGCAACTATTAATTTCAAACATTTTACATTGGTATGGATTTTTGTACATTGATACAAATTTAAGGTTACTTTTTTTGCAACATACTGTATATATGTTTTGTTTGGGGTTTTTAGGGTTTTTTTTTTTTTTCCTTTCTTTTTAGTTATTTGTTTGTTTGTTTGGTTGGTTTTTCAAGACAAGTTTTTTCTCTGTGTAGCTTTGGAGCCTGTCCTGGAACGTGCTCTGTAGACCAGGCTGGCCTCAAACTTAGAGATCGGCCTGCCTCTGCCTCTCAAGTGCTGGATTAAATGCGTGCACCACCACCACCTGGCCTACATATATGTTTATACTCTTATTTAGGATAATTAGAAATGCAGGTTAGTTGTCAAATGTACCAGGCTTTTTCTTTTTGGCCATTCAACAATCAAGTGCCTTAGGCAGGCAAGGTGAAAACACATCTTTACCTAATTAAATGCAGCATTTAAAAAAAGTAACACACCTTTACACAGTTAACGTAATATTCTGCAGCACAAACAAACGTAACACATCTTTGCCTGGTCAAAATAGTATTCCACACCACCATACATAACCACAGAACCCAACTGTAGGACAACTGAAAGGGTATAGCCCTTTGGTAGCAAAACCTACAAGCATGAACCCTGAGCAGTAACCAAGGAGAACCCAAATCAGGATCTGATGGAATATACCTCCTCTAAAACTCTCTCTCCCACGTGCAGCAAATAAGCCTTAAACTATAGTGTCTTCATCTTATGATTCCACAAGCACTCTTTGAGAATTACTAATTTTACTGTTTACTTTCCCTGTCTTCAAATATAGACCTGAACATAGTCAAGACATCTCCAGAAGGCATGGATACGACTGTCTGATAGACTCCAGTAGTGCTGACCATATCAACTCAGGACCTGCCCGATTGGTTCTAGGCCTAGAGTCCTATGAGTGGTAGAGCCATGGTATAGTCAGGATTGTAATCAAAAACAAAACAGTGTTGTCTTGGACTGCTCTCTCTCTCACTAACTACACCCTCCAAAGTTCTGTCCCAGCTCATTATAGAGTCCATCAGAAAACAGAGGTGAGACTTACTCCGGGTCACAATGACACTGTATTTGGTGTCCTTCTCTAAAATCTCAACTTTGAGGCAGGTTTTTGTGCTGTACAGACCCACGTTAACATAGGTGTCATTCAATTTCTCTTTTAAAAAGGAAGAAAAAAAGTTCCAAATACTAAACTGCTCTAGCTCCTTCAGCTTCTCCTCATTGTCCACCTGGGTGACTCGGACCAGTTTGGAGCTATTTACCCGGACCTGCAACACAAAAGAAATGAGGATGAAAAAGGAAATTTTCATAAACATAATTTTTAAAACTCTCACTGGAAACATACAGATGTAGCAAAAACATGATTTGGAAAATGATGTTGCTCTAACAGAGGCAGCTGCCACCATTTCTTATTAATATGGTCTGAATCACTATTAGGCCAGAAAAGGGGGTGGAGGGGGGGATGTTCCCAAGTAGAAAGAATATCAATACAGCTATTTATAAGATCATACAAAGCAAGGATTTGAAATATTCAGAAAATTGCCAGTCGTAAACAGTCCCAGAAAACTGAAAATGTTCTCCTAATGACAGACTGAGAAGTTCATGCATTGTCACAATCACTGATTATAGATAAACGTTGGTTATAATGTGCCCCAGATACATTTTATAATGTGCCCCAGAATTTTCTATCAGAAAATTAAAAAAAAAATTTAAAGAGCCCACAAGCCCAACTCTCATATGTTGATATGAACAGCAAACACCCTCATCGGTGTCTGTGTTACTGCATAGTTACTGCAGAACCTGCACAAGGTTCCTTCTGTTCAACCACAGCCAGAAACTCTTGTTTGACAGTGTTATGAGATAAGAGACCAAGGTCATTCTACTCAGAGGAGACTTCTCTCACAGAACCACAAGACATTTCAAAGAGCCAGGAGTGTGGACGCTCCAGAAGGGAGGAAGCAAAATGAAGAAAGAAGAAAAAAACCGTTCTCTCAGGATCACAGAACTCTAAGCTGGGAAGGGAACTGAGATGTCCTGGGGGAAGAGCTTCCAATTACCTGTATCCGCGTCCATATGTCATACCACTTTGGGATAAGCACATTTTTATAACAGAATTGTTGACTGGAATTCATATCAACTTGGGATTCCTGAAGCATGACCACATTTACATCAATTCCAGCTTTATGAGAAAAAAACGAGAAACAAGAACTAAGTAGAACATAACAGCTTAACCATAACCCGTGTTATAAAAAGATAAACTGACACTTTACATGCTTGGGCTTAAAATATGAACCAGACCAAAAAAAGAAAAACTGAGATGAAAGAAGAAATAAAAGTTTTATCTCTGTACAATTTGCGTGTGTGCACACACTCACATGTGTGCTTGCTTACAATTGACTATAGGATATCAAATACACTAAACATACACTGTCATTGACTTACACTATACTTACAAATAGTTAACATTACATTAACTCTGAATAAAAGCTACTTTTTAAATTTTATTTTACATGTATCTATGTTTTGCCTGTGTGTCTGTTCACCACATGAGTAATGTGCCCACAGATGCCCGAGGGGACATTAGATACCCTACAACTGGAGTTACATGTGGTTTGAGTCCCCGTGTAGGCCCTGGGAACCAAACTTTTAAGTGTTTCTCTGCAGAGTACGCTCTGTGTAACCCACCGAACAACATGATGTGGTAGACATTTTCATAATCTGTATTTTACAAACAAGGAAATGATGTCTAGGGAAAATTCCTGAAGTCACACAGCTAGTAAACAGTCTGCAATCCTCACACCCAAGCCCTACTTCCACCTTAAGCATAAATACTCTTCCTCTCTCTCTTTTTTTTTTTTTTTTTTTTGGTTTTTCGAGACAGGGTTTCTCTGTGGCTTTGGAGCCTGTCCTGGAACTAGCTCTTGTAGACCAGGCTGGTCTCGAACTCACAGAGATCCGCCTGCCTCTGCCTCCCGAGTGCTGGGATTAAAGGCATGCGCCACCACCGCCCAGCTAGCCAAAATCATTTTAGGTGAAAACTAAGACTAACTTTTTTTTCATTGCTGAGAACCCACAGTGCTTTTTTTCCCCTAGAGTGCCATAAAGTTCCTAGGTAACTTTATCACTGAGAGACACCTCAACCCCAAACTAAGACTAACTTGAAGTGGGTAAAGTATTTGCCATTCATGAGGACCTGAGTTCAAATCTCCAGCACCTGGATAATGCCAGGCACAGTAGTACATCTATAATCCGAGTGCTCCTACAGCAAGGTGAAGTTGGAGACGGAATCCCTAGAAGAATGTGGCTGGTGGAAGCAGCAGCCAATGAGATCTTGTTTCAAACAAGGTGGAAGGCTAAAGACCAGCACTGAAGACTGTCCTCTGACCTCCACTCAAACACCACAATGGGCTGGAGAGATGGCTCAGAGGTTAAGAGCATTGCCTGCTCTTCCAAAGGTCCTGAGTTCAATTCCCAGCAACCACATGGTGGCTCACAACCATCTGTAATGCAGTCTGGTGGTGCCTCTTCTGGCCTGCAGGCATACACACAGACAGAATATTGTATACATAATAAATAAATAAATAAATAAATAAATAAATAAATAAATAAATAAATATTTTTAAAAAAGCACAACATGTACATACCCGCGCACACACGCGCGCGCGCGCGCGCACACACACACACACAGAGAAAGAGCCAGGTATAACAGCATGCATCTGTAACCCCAGCACTGGAGGGCAGTGACAGACACTCTGGTCAGCTCATTGGTCTAGTTGAATCAGTGAGCTCTAGTGAAAGACCCTGTCTCAAAAAGGAAGATGGAGCCAGGAAGGGGAACATAACTTTAATCCCAGCACTTGGGAGACAAAGATAGGTGGATCTCTGAGTTTGAGGCCAGTCTGGTCTACATAGTTAAGTCCAGGAAAGCCAGGACTACATAATAGAAAAGAAAAAAAGAGAAAATAAGTAACAGAGAAAGATATGTGATGTTGGCTTCTGGTATCCACATGAACATGTGCACAAACCACATACATACATACATACATACATACATACATACATACATACACACACACACACACACACAAGTCCAATAAGAATCCATCACTTCCTTAAAACAAACTGCAGTCTATTTACAAAACTCTAAGTAAAAACATGTATTACCAAACCAATATTATACTTATTAGCAACCATTCTCTCACCTTTTAAAGCCCATTACTATTTTGCCAAGTGGGAAATGAGATACAAACAATGTGTTGATAATGCCAGCCATTTGAAAACTTATTGCCAGGAAAAGCTACTTAACTTAAAATTCTACAGTGGGTCAGCACATACTGCTACACTTCTGTAATCCCAGCACGCAGGAGGCAGAGACTTCTAGATCTCGTTTGAGTTTGAAGCTAGCCTAGTCCACATAGAAAGCTCCAGGCCAGCTACATAGTGAGAGGCTACATAGTGAGCCCCTGCTTCAAAACAAACAAACAGGGGCTGGAGAAATGGCTCAGAGGTTAAGATCATTGCCTGCTCTTCCAAAGGTCCTGAGTTCAATTCCCAGCAACCACATGGTGGCTCACAACCATCTGTAATGGGGTCTGGTGCCCTCTTCTGGCCTGCAGACATACACACAGACATAATATTGTATACATAATAAATAAATAAATATTTTAAAAAAAGTTGTACAATAAGCAGTTAAGAGCACTGGCTGCTCTTCCAGACACCAGGATTCAATTCCCAGCATTCATGTAACTTCAGTTCTAGGGAATCTCTTCTGGTCTCAGTGGGTATCAGGCATTCACATGGTTCACAGACATACATGCAAACAAGTATCCAATAAACAGAAAATAAATAAATTCTTGGGACTGAACAGATGGCTCAGAGGTTAAGAGCACTGGCTGCTCTTCCAGAGGTCCTGAGTTCAATTTCCAGCAACCACATGGTGGTTCACAATCATCTATAATGAGGTCTGATGCCCTCTTCTGGCCTGCAGGCAATACATGCAGGTAGAACACTGTATACATAATAAATCTTTAAGAAAAGAAATTAGACACTCCAATATTATGTCTTAAAGAGATATCCAATTAAGATAGCTCTGCAAGTAAAGGCACTTGTCACCAAGTCTCAAGTTTTATGAGCAGGACTCAGAGAAAGAAGCCACCTGACTCCCACAGGCTGTCCTCTGACCTCCACAAGAAGGTGGCTCACACCCACACCCACAATCATAAATAAATAATAAGTTGCAATAAAAAAGTTAACTGCTATGCTGCATAGTTGTATAACAACTTGACACAGGCTAGAGTCATCGGAAAGGAGGGCGCCTCCGCTGAGGAAACAACTCCACGAGAATGGCTGTAAACAAGCACGGAGAGTATTTTCTTATTCAGCGGCTGATGGGGAGGCCCAGCCTATTGTGGGTGGTGCCATCCCTGGGCTGGTGTTCCTGGGTTCCATAGGAAAGCAGGCTGAGCAAGCCCTGAGGAGCAAGCAGGTAAGCAGCACCCCTCCAGGGCCTCTGTATCAGCTCCCGCCTCCAGGTTCCTGCCTGGCTTGAATCCCTGCCCTGATTTCCTTCCATAACACACAGCAATGTGGAAGTGTAAGCTGTGTTTCATTACTTCAGTGATAACCCTAACTAGGAAAAGTGCATTCTCCATCCAAATAAAATCAAAGCTTAACCTTCCCCACTTGGATTAAGCTCCACCTTAACTCACTGAGTCATTAAGCTGACCACAAAACCGCCATTTTTCCAGGCTCCAACAGGTAATTCCAAATCCACGAGCACAGAGTCGACCCTAGTTAAACTTAATGAGTGACAAAACAAACACACAAATACCGGAAAGGGACCTGTAGGGAGGAACACGGCCGAGTGGGGCCAGACAGAGTGGGAGGAAAAAGGTAATCAGAACAGACTGTGCACATGTATGAATCTGTCAAACAACAGATTTAATAAAAATTATTTTTAAAACATACCATCTTCAATCAGTGGGTTTAGTAAAGTATTATTAAATTACATGCCGGGACAAATGAATTATTTGAAAAATAAAATCCATCCAGATCCTTGCCTCACACCAAATACCACAATAAATTATAAATTAAAAAAAAAGAGGCATGGATGCCTTAGTAAGACCCTGTTCAAAAAATAAAAGGGCTGCTGAGCGATGGTGGCGCACACCTTTAATCCCAGCACTCGGGAGACAGAGGCAGGCAGATCTCTGTGAGTTCGAGACCAGCCTGGTCTACAGAGCTAGTTCCAGGACAGGCTCCAAAGCCACAAAGAAACCCTGTCTCGAAAAACCAAAATAAATAAATAAATAAATAAAAGGGCTGAAACTGTAGTTCAGTGGTAGAGCACTAACACTGAATGCTTCGGGCCCTAGGTTCAATTCCCAGCTTTGCTAATAATAATTTGCAAAAAAAAAAAAAAAATATTTAATAGTTATCCTCCAAAAACCGAAATTATCAATTTAACTTTAGAGAGCTCTTTTATCTTATTATTATCATTACTATGTCTATGCGTATATACACATGATATGTGTGAATGGGTGTGCGCACATCCTAGCACACATGTAGAGATCAGAGGACACTTTTGGGAGTCAGTTATCTCCTCCCATTATAGGTTTCATCAACTCAGGTCACCCATTTTGTGTGGCAAATTCTGTTTACCCTCATAATTACCTCACTAACCTGCAAATCTTTTTTTTTTTTTTTTTTTTGGATTTTCGAGACAGGGTTTCTCCATAGCTTTTTGGTTCCTGTCCTGGAACTAGCTCTTGTAGACCAGGCTGGTCTCGAACTCACAGAGGTTCGCCTGCCTCTGCCTCCCGAGTGCTGGGATTAAAAGCTTGCACCACCACTGCCCGGCTAGCCTGTAAATCTTATGTATAAATCCAAATAATGAAATCAAATGACCATATATAAGATATAAACCTTACCAAGCACACAAGTGGTACAAATACAAACACACACATAAAATAAACCCAATTTGAAAAAAATTAAGGCCTGGAGAGATGGCTCAGAAATAAGAGCACTGCTGCTCTTCCAGAGGTCCTGAGTTCAATTCCCACCAACCACACGGCAGCTCACAGCCATCTGTAATGAAATCTGGTGCCAAGGCATACATGCAGACAGAACACCGTATAAATCTTAAAAAATTTTAAAGGGTGAAAATAAACTCAGAAATTTATTTTAAAATTATACAAAAGTCCTTATAAATAAAATTCACAGTGCTGGAGGTGTAGTTTGGTAGAGCTCATGCCTGGTGAGTGTGAAGTCCTCAATTTGACTTCTAGCACACAAAAATATTTTTCTTACAATTTTATAACTAGGCATGGCTGCATACAGGTGCACATGCTTATAATCTCAGCACACATAGGAAGTAGAGACAGGCGGAAGAATTCAAAGTCATTCTTGATACGTAGGCTACAAAAGCCTGGCTCAAAAAATTAAAATATAAATACTCAGAAGAGGCCGTGAACAATGGACATACACACCACAGAACTTTCAAGTCTGAAGCTGGGGAGCCAGGTCGGTAGTAAAGGACCCGAGTTCAGATGGTCAGCGCACACATGAAGCCAGGCGCAGTGCTGGAGGCAGAGCTCACAAGGAGCTTGCTGGCCAGCCAGTCTAACCAAATCTCTAAGATGCAGGCCCAGTGAGGGAGCTTGTCTCAAAATTGGGGTAGATAGGAACTGAAATAGTCAACAGATGCCAACCTTCAGCCTACAGCACTCACATGTGCACAGGAACACTGCGCTCAAACACAAGAACACATACAAATGCAATCAACTGCAAGGATTTTGCCTACTTCTTTATACTAACTGTATTAATACTTGCCAAATAGTATAAAACACAAATTATTTTTAAAATTAAATGTTTCCAAAATTTCTAGAGACAAGAAACCAACCTTTTGATAAATTCCATTCTACCGTTGGGAGAACCTGGTAGAAAGCAACAAGGCTGCTCTTTATAGCTGACCCCCACATAATCCGGCGATCATTCCCTGAGCCGTCCCTGGAGACTACTTTACAGCAAATGAGGAGGCCCCTGGTTCTGCCCTCCCAGGAGCAACTTTGGGGTCTATCTTACGATGCTTTTTTTGTGTGTGTGAGGCACGTGACCCCAGCATTCTGGGGGCTGAGACAGAAAGGGCTTGAGTTGCAGGACAGCCAGGACTACACAATGAATTTCAAAGCAGCCTAGCGACATGGTAAGCCCCCGCCTCAATGAAAGGGCAGGGAAGTGATCAGAAAAGTTTGCTTTAGGTTTCTTAGTTATTGTCCGTTTATTTGTTTCGAAGCAGAGTCTCACCATGTAGCCCTAGCTGTCCTGGAACTCCCTATGTAGACCAGGCTGGCCTCAAACTCAAGAGATCCACCTGCCTTGGGGTCCCAAGTGCTGGGACTAAGGTCGAGTGCCACTATGCCCAGCTTTTTGCTTTAGGTTTCAATCCCCAGTATCCTGTAAAAGAAACTTCAAAGACAAGAACTGTTGATTGTTCTTAATATTTTCTTATTTCTTCACAACCCAAGGCCCCATTTCAAAAGTTCACCCAGGTAATAATTCTTCCAAATGTTGTTTTAGGTTTCTAGGACCTGCATCTGGCAAAGTAAGTTTTCCTGGATACCTGCTCCCTTCGCAAAACTAAGTCTTCAGTCCCTTTTGAACAACTTATCTATTGGTGTGTTAAATTATCTTAAAGCCGCAAGAGAGCATGTGATGGGCAGGAACAGAAGGGGGCGATGTGAGTCCGTACCGTGTGTTTATAAGCGCTGATTATTCTCTGGGGCTGCTACTCCCTCCAGTGGAAGTTTGCAAACATCACTTATCTCCCCGTCCACTACTGTAACAAGGCGCTAAGAAAAACATCTATTTCTTGCAAACATTTTAATTTTTCTGCACTGGAGCACAAAATAAGTTTCCTACCCAGTCCAGAGTTGATTGTTCAACAGAGAGTACATAATGACCGCGCTAAAAAGAAGGAATAAACTGTCATACTCAAAACTGATGGCTCTTCTATCTCTTCTGGGCCACTGCACTACAATGACCATTCCAGGACTGTTAGGGCGGCTCTTAAGAAGAGCCGGTGGTGGCGCACGCCTTTAATCCCAGCACTCGGGAGGCGGAGGCAGGTGGATCTCTGTGAGTTTGAGGCCAGCCTGGTCTACAGGGCGAATTCCAGAAAAGCTAGGGCTACACTGAGAGACCCAGCCTCGGAAAAGCATGTCCATCTGGGGTTAGTCTTCTCTACTCCACGGTGTCGGGACAGCACCCATCTCCCTAGGTGCGGTCAGGAAACTTAAGGCGAAACGGTCCTCACACCTCCTCCGTGTGAACCGGAGGCTCGGGGGACCCAGCGGCAGCACGCAGCCCCTAAACGGGTCCCCAAGCCCAGGCCTCCCTTCCTGGGACCGCCGAAGGCTTTCGGGAAGCAGCCCCAGGTCACCACCCCTCAGCCGGGATGAGCTCGGCAAGCCGCGGCGCCGCTCGGCGGAGTAACGGGCCGCGCCCCGGGATAAACTCTCTTCCCAAAACAACGCCCTCGCGGCGCCCGCCAGGCACGGCAGCCCGAGTGGTACCTGAGCCGCAGACCACGCAGCCGAAGAGGACGAAGACCAGCCACGCGGCCCCGCGGCTCCCCGGGCCCCCGCACCGGGGCCAGGGACCAACCGCCGACCAGCCCGCCACTTTGATTCCTCCCGCCATGGCTGCCTCACGCCGCCTCCTCCTCACGTGCCCCTCCTCAGCAACCGTCCCCGGACAGGCAGCGCCAGCAGCCAATCAGCGGCGAGACCCGCCCCTAGGCGCCACACCTCCTAACAACCCCAACCCTAGCAATGGCGACAGGAAGCTCCCACCCTTTACCCAACCTGCTTCCGGCCCTGGTTTATTTACAAGTGAGATTGATGGTAAAGTTGCCCAATAGAAAGTCAGAATGGGAGAGGCCCTTCTGGACTGCAGCTTCCCAGCGGAACCCGAATTCTTTCTGCTTTTTCTTTCCTTTCTACGTCGATCTTTTTATTATAGGCAAGCCAATGCTAACTTTGGCTTTTTTTTTTCCTTACGAGAAATTCAGATGTGACAGTTTCTTAAGGTAAAACGATTGACACCCTGTCCCCAAAGTTCTGACAAGATTTCAACCTAAAGTACAGGAATAGTGTGCGTTGTCAAGGTTTTGTAGGCATAAACGACGTTTTAAAATGTAGTCTAGAAAAAAAAAAAAAAAAAAGACGTAGGGTAGAGCTGAGAATGTACCCCGATAGTAGAGCACGGTCAAGTGTTGCAAGGCACTAACTGCGATCTCCAGCACTACAAAACGAACAGAAAACAAGACCCGAAAACATAATTTCTTAGTTCCCTTTTTTTGACGGAGGATGTAGCTGGACCATGCTCACGGCCCTGGTTTCGATCACCAGCACCGCGGAAATAAAGCCTAAGTCACACGGCGGAGGGATGGTTTTGGACCAAAAGAGGTGACAATCAAGACATCAAGACGGGGTTTACCATCTCCATTTAAAAGGAAGTTAAGGCTAAGAGAGACAAAGGAAAGACAAAAGTAGTTCTGAGCTCACATCTAAGTTCTTTCTGCGTCTTAGGCTGCCTCCCACGACACGCCATTGCATTTGTGGTCCAGTTCAGTACTTGTAGAAATTGAAGCACTCAAAAAAAAAAAAAAAAAAAAAAAAAAAAAAAAAAACTCAAGATGGGTAGGAGAGAATTCACTCAATATTTGTAATTCCATCATTTGGAAAATTGAGACTGTAGGATTGCTGAGAATTGAAGACTAGCCAGGAATATAGAGTTTAAGTCCTGAGAGCCTGTGTCGTGTGTGTGTGTGTGTGTTTGTACACACACATTTATACATCCACAACACACATATATATTGCCTATCAAGATAGCTCAGTGTGTAAAAGTGTTTATAACTCAAGCCTTGAGTTCCATCCCAGAACCTACACAGTAGAAGAAAACCAACTCCTGTTCCCACAGGTTGTACTCTGATCTCATCCATACTGATTCTGTGGCCCACAAACATCACCCACCACCTCTCCCCCACCTCCACACATACTGGTTCTGTGGCACACACCTATACCCCGCGTGCGTACACACATATTGACCAACTGATGTGAACTTTTTCTTTAATATCACGGTTAGCAGGAGGCATGGCAACCCATATCTGTTAATGCCGGCTTGTGGGACACTCGGAGGGACACAAAGTTAAGGCGAGCCTGAACTACACATCTAGAACCTACCTCAAAACAAAAACGTATCATGTTTATCTGATACAAGGAAAGACTAAGAAACTATCCCACATAAGGGAGAGTAAGTAAACTACATGTAATATAATAATATAGATCTTGAAACGGAAAAAAATTTTAAAAGCTCCAGGAAGAAAAACTGGGATTACAAGCCTGAGTCACCTCTTCCCTGCCCATCACCAGAGCCTCCGTTTATGGACACATACTCTGCCTGGCTGACAAAAGAAGCCATGTAGTAGGAAGGAACCTAGTGAACCAAAAAAACTGAGATTTGAGCTCAGTAATCATAGACAAAACTGTGAATAGGGGTGCAAATCTGGCCCCACAGTTAAGAGTGGTTACCGCTCTTACAGCACCCCCACTTTGGCTGGTTTACCACCCCTTGTAACTCCTGCTCCAGGGGTTACGACGCCCTCTTCTGGCCTCCAAGGGCACTGCATGCATGTGCACACATACCAAGACATAACTGAAAATTAAAAAAAAATCTTTTTTTTTAGATTTATTTGTTTATTATGTGTACAGTATTCTGTCTGCAGGTATGCCTGCAGGCCAGAAGAGGGCACCAGATCTCATTACAGATGGTTGTGAATCACCATGTGGTTGCTGGAATTGAACTCAGGACCTTTGGAAGAGCAGGCAGTGTTCTTACACTTGTTTTTTCTTAAGGTATGAGTAATATACACTAAGGGTGGCAAGTGTACCCTATTACTGGAAAATAATGGGGGGATGGATGCACATTTATGGAGAGCCTGTAGTAGCTTTTCAGTTTTCAAGTAAGTCAAAAGTTATTTTTAAAAAGTAAACTCTGGCAATGCACTTGTGTATGTAAATAAATGTGAGTGCATGTGATATACACATATTTTATATATGTGCATCTTTTTAGATAGGGTCTGGCTATGTAGCACTGGCTGTCCTGGAACCTGTGTAGATTGGTCTCAAACATTCTGCCTTTGCCTGCTAAGTGCTGGGATTCCAGGCACCTGTCACCACTCTGCATACCTCACTTCTCTCTTGGGCCCTGTCTTTCTTTCTTGGTTTTTATGATTTTTAGTTTTTTAGTTTGTTTGCTTGCTTTAGAATTATCTATTTCTTAATAACTAATTTTTATTTGTTTTATTTATTTTACAAAAAATATTTATTTTATTTATTTATGGTTTTTCAAGACAGGATTTCACTGTGTGTCCCTGGCTGGTCATGGAACTCGATTTATAGACCAGACTGGGCTCAGATTCACAGAAATCTGCCCATCTCTGCCTCCTGAGTGCTGCAATTAAAGGCCTACATCGCCATATGCAGTTTTAGATTTATTCTTTTTATTTTTATTTAATGTGTATGACTACTTTGCCTGCATGTTTGTGTACCACATACATGTAACGCCTGTGAAGATCAGGAAAGGTCCGTGACCCTCATGGAACTGAAGTCACAGACAGTTTTTAAGGTGTCAGAACCTAAACTTGGGTTCTCCATAGTAGTATTAAGTTCTCCCAACCACTCAGCCATCTCCTGGGCCTGAGTTTTAGTTTTTTTGTTTTGTTTTGTTTGTTTTTGGTTACTGTGTAACTAAGGATGACCTTGAACTCCTGATCTCCTATCCCCCCCCCCCCC